ATTAATAAATAATAGTATATTATATATAATATATATATATACAATATTATAAAAATTAAAAAATATCATTAAAAAATTCGGGCACATTCGGGCGGGCTCAGGCAGCCAAGACCAAGCCCGTGGCCCATCCAAGGATCTTCTCGGGCTCGGGCGGGCGGGTTTGGGTGTTAGGCACAAATTCAGTTTTTTCAAGCAGTCCGGGTGGCTCGTTTAAAGTTCCAACACTAATTATGGAGGAATCTCCTGTGGTGGTCTGCCAACATATGGATAAGGGAGAGAGATTTTGTTTCAAAAAATCAAATTAGAAGTTTGGGATAATTATCAAGCTTTATCTTGGTGATAAAAAATAGACTTCTTCTAGGAGTCTGACTAGTACTCTATAAATAGGAGATTACAGAAAATTAGAGAACACAATTTTTTGCTCTCCCTAGCATAGTGTTGCCAATTTCTATAGTGTGGGAAGGAAAATTTTCTCTCAAAATTCCATGTCGTGCATGTGTTGATGTTCGTAGAAAAATTTATTTGCTAATCCTGTTTTATTTCAAGTGTGCTCACACACACGTTTTCGTAGATTTAAGGAATTGACAAGAAAGATTTGGGTGTTCTAAACTAGCTTCGAGTGAGGAACATTCGAGGTCAAAGAATTTAAGTTATCGACCTAATTATTCACTAGGTAAATAAATTAATAATTTATTTGTACATAAATTAATGTAATCTATAAAGTATCTCAAAGTTTTATAGAAATTTTTGTTATACACGATCTGTTAAATACACTCTTCCGCATCCAAAATTATTTTAGAAACCAACAATAAAATCATAGACTCATATGTGATAAAATTTAACCATTAACATTTTATGAATGTAACAAAATAAATTCTTTAATTTTTATCATAAAAACCATGTTAACATAGTTCAACAATTTAACGGAGAAATTCGTTGTCTAAATTTAAATAATTTATCAGATTTCTACTAATAAAATTCTCGGACATTACAATTCCAAAAGTAGTTAACTTTTTAAATAAATAAATCGAAATCATTAAATGTAAAAAGTTGTATGAAATGTAGTTCCTAAAATTTTATATAAAAAAAAAAAGCAAAATTAGCTTTTTTGCAACATATTTGACTTTTTTTAATCTATTTATTCACACATGCAACTTTCCAAAAAAAAAAAAAGTTTAGTTGTTATATTTGCCCGACCATCCCATATTGTTACTTATCCGATAATAATAACTTTAAAAACATATACTTTTATAAACATGTTTTGTGTTATAAATCTTTGATCTCCTAATATATTGTTGGTTTCTCAAACTGAATTTTAAAAAACATTTGTGTAGAAGCATGGTATCGATTAAATCATATAAATCTAAATTTAATACAATTATTATTTCATGTTAATTTAACTACTAAGATTTTAAAGAGAAAAAAAGATTTTACCGTCGTACGATTAAGACGTTAATCTTGAACTTCTCCAACACCGTCTAGAACTTTTATAATTCTAAGAACACCACATCTCTTTCTCAACGTATCTCCGGATTAACGTGAACTTGAACGTGTAGGTGTTCTAATAAGTTTCTCAATACATGAGATGGATGAATGGAAAAATTATCTATGATTATCACCCACTTTTCTCAAAAATGTGTGATATCTCTCATTAACCTTCTCTCTTTTTTCTTTTTTTTTTTTTTTTTTCCTTTTCTCACTTTCTCTAAAAAATATTCGGCACTTGTATATCTCTTTTGCATGAGAAATGTACCATTTATTACTTTCTCAATTTCCGTGCAGTTCCTATTTCGGAACATCATCATACGTGCTGTTGCACGTATATATATTTTTTGCTTAATGTGACGAAACGTGCAACATTCCTTTTTTTTTTTAAATTTATTTCGAGAGGAAACATCCCTCTCTCCTTTTTTTTTTATTTGTATTATGGCCAAACCTCATTGGCCAAAATAAAATAAATAAATAAATAAAATTTCTCTAGATGAGAAACGTGGAGAGATATAGGAGTGAAAAAAATTTCCTTATTTTGTAAAAGTGATTAGATTCATCTATATTAATTTAAAATAATTTAAAATTAATTTTAATATTAATTAATCGAATTAATTAATATATATTTAAAATTCTCAATTATAAATTAATAATCATAACTCAATATGATATGTATAGTTCACATTAATCTTATAGAGCCGTTAAGAGAAACTATAGACATAATAATTTTAAGCTCCAATAGACAATTAATTAACACCTTAATTAATATATCAAAATGATTAATTTTAAATTACTCCACTATAAATTTAAAATTGTTATCTTAAAATTATAAAATAATTATGTTCACGAAATTTGTGTTGTCCATTAATATAATCACTACATACGAATTAATCCTCCATAAACGATTCATAATTAAAGCTATGAATTTTTCGTTGAGCTATTTTATTATATCTTTCTTCATGAGTACCATTGATCCTCTAATGAATAATATATTTTATGATCCAATCATAAAATTGAGTGCTATTATTATTCAAATTCTGAATCAACACTTATGAGAACCATCCATTTACTTCATTATGAAGTAATAAATTTCATCTTGTAAATTAATATTCCCGGCTATTTATTTTACTATGCTCCCAATATACCAAGGCTTTGACACTATTCATATGTGTCATTGCTCAATATGTCAAAGAACATAATATCATAAATAGGAGTTAATTAATTACTCAAAATTAAGATTAATTCATATATGACCATCATTAATTAATATTGAATGCTCTATTTAATAACATAATTTATTAGAGATTCATAATTAATCGCGTTCTAATCCTATGTAATCATATTACATAAAATGCTTTCATTCTAATAATCTCATTATTAACAATCTAGGATAAGATTGTTTCATTCAGAATGTAATGAACCACATTAGTAATTTTAAATTAAAGATCCCAACTTTAATTTATAATTACTGACAAGTTTAAATTATTTTACTTCAAACATTACCCTCTGCATATAACACTTATATACAATGTTTAAAATTATATCTAAAATAATCTAGAGATTTTGATATTTATAAACATCACATGCATGCAAAGTAATATTAAAAAAAATTCTCATTTCATTAATAATCAGCAAAATATTTACATCTCATTTGATTAATGAACATATACCTCAACATATATCACTTTATTTTTTTAGTAAAATGCACATTTCTATAAAATAAAAAAAAATACAAACAAATATAATTCAAAACAAAATAAAACGCTAAAACTCAGCACATTCAAAATTTAACCGAAAAGATAATACTCATTCATTTCTTACCCACTCATTAGACTTTTTCAATATCAAATTAAGAAAAAAAAGTTTACCTTAAAAAAAGATTAGAAAACAATTAACTACAAACTATAATCCACGATATAACAAAATGTCTCCCACGATTATTTATAACATTGATTTACTATAACAAAAAATAAAAAATTTTATTGTCTATGACAAATTATTTAGAAATTTAGTGGCTGTTTATAGAATCGCTCTCTTTTTTTGTTTTGTTTTAGTTTAGGAACTACGTTTGGTGTAATTCTTGTATTTAATGTTTTTTTAAATCTATTTATTAACCAACAAACTAATTTTGTCATTTTTCTGGTTTAAGGATTAAATTTAATAAAACTTTTAACACAGGAACTATTTCTAAAGAAAGAATATAGATCAGAGAATTTTTATGATACAAAGTTAATGATTTTCATAATTTAATAGAGAAAGTATTTATAAGACAACTATTGAGTTTAGATACTATTTTTATGAGCCAAAATTGACAATAAAAATTAATTTTAAAAAGAGAAAATTTCAGCAACCATCCATCAATATAACTCTTTGTTATTTTCTACCAAAACAGAAACATTTCATGAAAAGCACAGGGTCACAGCGACCACAAACAATAAAAATAGTAATAATAATAATAAACAATAGTTAAAACAATCATAAAAAGGTGAAAAGCTAACGTATACAAGCCCGTCTAGCTCAGTCGGTAGAGCGCAAGGCTCTTAACCTTGTTTTATGGTTAGATGTATATTTTTTTTCCCTGAGCTGTGACAAGTATAACAAAAGATAAAAAAATATATAATAATATTCAAATGTAAATATATACCAATATAAGAATAAAACATCACACCAAAAACCAGAAGAGTGTACGCATCAGCTCACCAGTTCACTTACTGGGGTGGCATCTATGATGGTACTGCCACAAGGAACCTTAGGCCGGTTAAGCACCCGCTGATAGGTTTCTTCTGTTCTCTTGGAATTAATAGGAAACCACTGAAGTACTCCACATGCTCAAGACAAACATATAAACAAATTGACTAATGCACTACAGGAAAATGATGCCTCTTTTTAATAAGAAATTATAAAAATCTCTACTGCAAAATACAAACACAACAATAAGATGCCCGTCTAGCTCAGTGGGTACCATGTGGTCGTGGGTTCGACCCCCACGGTGAGCGTGTTTCATATGTAATTTACTTTCTTTTTTCTTTTTTTTTTTTCCTTTCTGGGTTTTCAAAGAATTTTCTTCCCCGTGGTGGGCTTTGTTTTCATAGAAGTGTGACAACATAGCCCTACACAAGACCATGTAAAAAAAGATGCATCTACATATACAAGTACAACAACATGACTCAACCCAAAAGCGTGAACGCATCGACTGATATGTTTGATTACTAGGGCACCATCCATGACTAGTCCCACCAAAAAGACAAAAGACACTAGTTGTACCTCAATGCCTCATAAGCATCTGCTGATGAGCAAAACGTTTATAGGAAACAGGGGATAAACCATCCAACAAGTACTTCCACATGGTTCTTCCATAAAATGCTTCCTTTAAAAATTTTGTTGCAATGACATTGGAGATCAAGGTGCCAGATGAAAACATGTATCCAATAGTGTGTGAACTTCAGCAAGGGAAGACACTTTGAAATCTGGTTTGTGTTCCACATTGGCATATTTTGGAGAATCGTACCTTCCATCTTCATCAAGCAAGCATGCAAATGCTCCTGCTTGCTTACCACATTTTACCTGCAAAAGGTCGAGTATGTGATGTTTTCTGTATATACAGCACAAGTAAGAAACCATTGATGTCGGATTGACAACGGGATAATATGTTTTAAGGCAACTTCCTTAACATAGCAATAAGAGAGACTCTAAAGCGGTTCAAATAATGAGAGTTACATTCTGACACACGTCAATAGTTTACAATGTTTCTAGGTTAATCTGATCATATTTAGATTGAGAGATGTCAATAAATAACAGTCAAAGAATGGTATTGTAAACTAATGTGGTTTCATATCTACCACATAACGTACATCATCTTTAAGACTGTCACCAACCATCATCACTTCACTAGGCTGAACATCCCAGGCTGAACATATATGTAGAAGCGGAGCTGGGTCTGGCTTGAAAGGACGAAATTCCCTGCTTAGAGCTGGAGAAAATCTTATCTGCAGCAATAACAAATAAAAAAATAAAGTTCATATTGATTACTTCAGTCATAAGGAGAAACATAATTTCTATTTACACAACACCATTTTATAAACCTCTTAGTTTTTGTATTTTAAGGGCCTTACCCCAAAACGTTCATGAAACAAGTCCACTGCAGCCTTAACATTGCGCGTGATTAACCCTTGCCTGAAAAATACACATTCAACCAAATAACCATTTTATCACCAAGCAGGAAATTTAATACCGCCATTGCACAAAAAGATTATCAATTTAGCATTGAGAAGTTTTTCTGGCAATCAAAGGTTATAAACATCATTGACTTGAACACGTACACGTTGTTGACTTGTTTATCCAAAAGTTTAAATCTTTGGACGCCAGGGATAACACATTCCAATGCCCATCCAAAACATACAAAATTTAGGATAAAATAGACGAATTCAATTAACTTACAAGGAAAAAAAAGAAATGACTAGTAAGAAAAACAAAAGATTGTGCTTGACCTTATGCCTTTAGAATCGAGAAAACTGCAAAGTTCCGCGGCACCTGCGTCCAAAAAAGACTGAACAAATTCATCCATCTTATCTCTAAATTGATGGTCAAAATTGAAAATGTAGAGCTCGCATCTTCCATTTTTTCATCCAGCATTTTCCTAAGAAATCAACAGAAACAGAAAAATTGTCTAAAACAAAAATGTAGTTTACGTTTCACATCTTCCATTTTCCTCGGCAAACAAACGCAAACCAGAAAAACAAATGCAGTCATTATCTTATCTCTAAATCAAGGGCCGAAAACGAAAAATGTAGGTTTCACATCCTAACATTTTCTCGGCAAACAACCAGGAACCAGAAGCACCACGAATTAAGCCATTATCCTAACTTAGACCAAGTAAGTATGCTAGGATTCAGATCTTCCATTTTCTCATACAACACTTTCTCGGAAAACAAACAGAAGCCAGAAGAACAAACAAACCAACAAAATTCTCGGACCTGGCATGATCTGGAGGCGATCGAGTCCCTGGCGCTCGAAATCGGCGATGGTTTCGATCGCCTTTCGCTGCTTCTCGGGGCTCCAATTCTCGATTTGGTGCAAGATATCGATTCCAGAGGGATTCTTGGCCTTGATCCTAAAGTACTCTTCGTCGCCGAGCACCGCTCTGTACATCGCCGGGAAATCGATGGTCGGAACGGTTAGAGTTCCGTCCATGTCGAAGACGACGCCTCTGAGGCGAGCTTTGGACGGAGGATTTGGAGCCGCAAAATTGGAATTGGATGAGAGATTCGCCATTGGAATTGGGGATTTTGGTTTTGAAGAGTGGAGGAAGAGGATGGCTTTGGATAAGGGGAGTGGCATGGTAGAGAGAGAAAACGACAGAGCGGAAAAGGGATAAGAAAATTGATACGGAAAAGGAATATTTTTTCTTTTTTTCCTTTCTTGAGCAGGGCCTATAGTATAGCCCTTTTGCGCTCGTCCGGGTTCCAACCCACGTGGTCTACCGCAGGTACTCGCCCCTAATAGAGCGGGTATAGAGATGTTATTCGGGAATGGAGGAGGATACGGAGGTTAAAATTAACCGCTAAATTAGGACCGGGGCGGGGTTGGAAAAAGCTCCTAAATCAGGAGCGGGGCGGGGCTGAGGAAAGCTCTTTCGTTTTAGATCCCGCTTGATTATGTGTACTTTTATTTAATATTATATTTTATAAAAGAATTTTAAATGAGATATGTAATTATTAGTAATTATAGATAATCAAAAATTTTAAATGAGATATATATTTACAAGATATTAGTTGTTATATTGCTACATTTTATAATGAATTTAATGAAATTTGCTTTGAATATAATAATGTTACAATTTTTTAAATTCTTATTTCTTAACGGATAAATGGGTAGGGTATGAGAATTTTTCTCCTAGTAAAAAATCCATGATCCGACCATGTCTTAAATTAAGTGGGTATGGAGGCGGATATGAGGATAAAAAGGGAGTAGGGTACGGGGGTAGGGGAAGCACACCTGTCCTTATCCCACCTCCATTGCCATCCCTAGGTCCACCCTAACTCCTAACCTCCACCATCTGGGCTAGAGATGTCAAATGTGTCGTTGATGAGTGCGTAATTTATGCACTCATTCGTTACTCCTTTAGCTAGTTTCGGTGTGTTTTTCCTCAAGTTGTTATGTGAATTTGATGACTTTCCCTTGAGTGTGTAGGAAATGGTGAAATCGCTGAGTTTTGAGGCATTTTGGATCAAAAAGACAGAGAACGAGGCGATATGGCCCCTTCAGATGGCGATGCGACTCATAAAGGAGCAAAATCGAGCAAACCTGTGCGAAGGACCAGTGAGGGATGCGATATGTCACCTCCTTTGTGGAGATATGTTGCTGCCTTTAGGCGATATGTCGCCTATTCTAGGGGATATATCGCCTGAGTTACCCGATTTTATTAGAAACACGCGTTTTGCCCTAGTTTGGTGCAGGGATTTTTATGGAAAGTTAGAATTGGCTTCTTGGGGATGTGCTGGACGTGGAATATAAGGAAGAAAGGCCGAAAACTGAAGGGGGAAGGAGAAAAATGAAAACAAAAATTGCAAAGGAAGAAAATCTGAATTGGAGAGGATTCCAGAGGGAAATTGGAGGGATTCTTCAAGAATTCTAAGCGTTCTTCGTTCTCTTCTTCTCTTTCTTTTTGTATTTTTCTATATTTTGAATATTATTTGTAGATTGTGAGCCACATGATGTGTGGCTAATTTTCTTATTTGTTAGGGTTTAGATGAATCTCTATTTGTGATATTTGTTTCGACATTTTAATGTGCATTTAATTAAAGCTCTTCGTTTCTTTTGTGTTCTATTTTGAATTGTCGCTGCCAAATCTATGATTTACATATTGTTATGCTTTGTGAGATTATGAATTGGACAAATTTAGATTGTGAGGATTAATACTCGAGAGGAGAACGTTCAAGCAATCAAGAAACGGGTAGAACAACTTAGGTTGGTGTGAGGTTGAGAGATAAACATTGCTTAGGTAGCCGAAACAATTTTAGGTTGTGAAATTGAGAAGTGGAATTCCAGGAATTGTTTCTAGAGTGGAACTTAATGAAGGTAGGGGTGAATAGTTGTATAGAGATATAGGCTTGATATCACCTACACATTCTTTATGCGGCACTCGAGAGAGGGTATAAGGATATACATCACTCTAGGTTCTCGAGAACGTTGAGTTAGGTTAGGCACATTACTACGGAGAAACATAATCGAAATAGAGTGAAGTCAAGACCCTAGCATTGTCATTATATTGATTTTTCATTTTAATTTCAGCGCGTGTCATTCGTTACTGTCATCTTTCCTTTTGATTTAGTTTTCCTTTATTTTAGTTTTTCTTTGAGTTTATCACATCCAAATTTGATCGCTTAGATAAAGTAAGATATCATATTCACAATAGTTAGTTTACATTCTTAACGTCAATCCTCGTGGGACGATATCGATCTTAGGACCACTTTATTACTTGTACGACTTGTGCACTTGCAAGCATAGTCAAATTATTTGCAACAAGTTTTTGGCATCGTTGCCGGGGATTGAACGGCTAAGATTTAGACTACTATAGTGAAGAAATATCTTGTTTTAATCTAAGTTTTTTTCTATTTGTATTTATTTATCTATTTTTCTTTGGTTGTGTTCGTAGGTGCATGCAAAAAGCACGTGGCTCGGAACTCTTGCTTTTGGATTCAGAAATCGAATGAACTATTCGAGCTTTAAGGAGAAAATGACGAGCTAGGGCTAAAAACATGGCCGAGGGACAAAACCACTTAGACCAGCAATGGATGTTGCGAGATTATTTCAAGCCCGTGGTGAACGAGAATTATTCGGGCATCCAATGTCAACAAGTCAATGCTAACAACTTCGTGCTCAAGCCGGCCCTCGTCAACATGGTCCAGCAGAACCAATATATGGAGGCTTGCCGCACGAGGATCCCAATATCCACTTGGCCACTTTTCTGGAGATTTGTGACACAGTGAAAATTAATGGAGTGAGTGCCGAGATCATCCGTTTGAAACTCTTCCCATTCTCCTTGCGAGACCGGGCTCGGTCATGGCTTCAATCTTTACCATCAGGGAGTGTAGTCGTATGGGAGGACATGGCCCAAAAGTTCCTCATCAAATTCTTCCCTCCCTCCAAGACGTCTCAACTGAGGGCCGAGATTACTCAATTTCGGCAGTTTGAGTATGAACAATTATATGAGGTGTGGGAACGGTTGAAAGAGATGGTCCGCAAGTGCCCTCAACACGGTATTGAGGATTGGTTCCAAGTTCAACTTTTCTACAATGGGCTTATTGGGCAAACTAAGGCCCATATTGTTGCAGTGGCTGGTGGAACCATCTTGTCAAAGACACCCAGAGATGCACTCAATCTCTTTGAGGACATGGCAATGAATAATTGTCAATGGCAAAACGAGCGGTCCACTGTGAAGAAAGCAGCAAGGATTTATGATGTGGATCAAACGACATCTCTCATGGCTCAAATGGCGCTCTTGACTAATCAAATCCAAGGTCTTACCACAACTAATGCAAATGGTAATCAAGAAGCGGTAAAGATGGCACAAACTTCAAATTCAAGTGATTCGTATGATGAGCAATGTCACTTCGTCAACAGTAACTACAACTTCAGGCCCAACAATAACTTACCGACATATTATTATCCCGGGCTCCGCAACCATGAGAATTTCTCTTATGCCAACAATCGGAATGTTTTACAACCAACCCTGGAGTCGAGTAAACCGGCAATGGAAAAGCCTTCCTCATCACTTGAAGAGCTTTTGAAGGCGTATATTGTGGACTCTAAGGCTCGTCTTGATCAACATGACGCTCGTCTCAATAACATTGAAACTCACTGCACCAATTTGGGAGGCACGATGAAGGCACTAGAAACACAAGTTGGCCAATTGGCTAATGCTATAAAAGGGCAATAATCACGGTCCTTCCTGAGTGACACCAAGAAGAACCTAAAGGAGTGCAAGGCCATCACATTGAAGAGTGACAAAGAGCTTGAAGGCCCGAATGTCCAAAAAGCCATGGTTGATGAGGAGCCTACTGAGAGCAATGACAACGGTAAGGGTAAGGCAATGGAGGAAAACCTGAAAGCCAAGAAGGAAGCACCGGTGGTTAGACCGGGTTCGATCACCTTCCCGGATAATCCACCTCGTATCACTCCCCCATTGCCATTCCCTCAACGGTTCTAGAAGAAGGCGCTCAATGAGCAATTTGAGAAATTTCTCAATATCTTTAAGAGGATCCACATGAACATCCTTTTCGTGGACATCCTCAAGCAAATGCCAAACTATGCCAAATTTATGAAGGAGGTTATGTCCAAGAAGTGCAAACTTGAGGACTATGAGATAGTGAAGCTTACAGAAGAATGTAGCGCTATCATAAAGAGACAACTACCGGAGAAATTGAAGGATCCGGGAAGTTTTACCATCCCATGTGCAATTGGCGGGTCAACTTTTGAGAGAGCTCTTTGCGACCTAGGAGCTAGCATAAACCTCATGCCTTTGTCGGTGTTTCGAAAACTTAGGCTTGGAGAGGTCACCCCTACAACCATCTCCTTGCAAATGGCTGATAGGTCCATTACCTACCCATGGGGAATCATTGAAGACGTATTGGTAAAGGTGGATAAGTTCATCTTCCCGGTTGATTTTGTAGTTTTGGACATGGAAGAAGATCAGGAAATCCCCATTATCCTTGGAAGGCCTTTCCTAGCTACCGGAAGGGCTTTAATAGATGTGCACAGTGGGAACTTGACTCTAAGGGTAAATGAGGAGAAAGCCATCTTCAACATCTTAAATCCCAAGAGGTCTCCGCAAGAAAAGCCGACATGCAACCAAGTGGAGGAATTGAAATCCTGTATCAAGGAGTTCACTCAAGAAGTTGTGCCGAAAGATTCTTTGGGGAATGGTCCTACCAATTCCCTAACCATAAAAAAATTGAGCAATGAACATTGTCCCAAGAAAGATGATGCGAGGGAGTATATTGTTAAGAGGGCCGAAGCCATTGCCACCCTGATGAACAATGAAATGGTGGTGGCAAACAAGAAAGCCAAGAAGAAGCATGACCAGCGAACCTCGTGGCAAGATCTCACTCCGGGCCAATGCATCCTTCTTTTCAACTCTCAGTTGAAGCTCTCCCCTGAAAAAGTGGAGTCAAGATTGTCTGGACCATTTAAGATCAAGGGAGTGTCTTCATTCTGTACCATCGAGCTACAACCAGGAGGATGAAGTCATGTTCATGTCCAGCTAGGGACGTTAAATCAAACGCTTCATGGGAGGCAACCCACATATGATTTTTCGTTTGTCAAATGGGTTTCATTGTAAAAAAAAAAAAAAAAAAGAAGAAAAAAAAGAAGCAAATCAGGAGAGGGAGACAAAATGACAGGTGATATGTCACCTGTCAATAGGCGATATGTCGCCTGAGGGATTTTGACAGCCATATTAGTCTCCGGGAACCTCATATGGCGAACCCGAC